TTGTTTGTTTTATCATTCACGAATAATCGATAAATTTTTCAAATCAATAAATATGTCAACTTTAAATTAACCGCTACATTTTTTTATCATGGATACTTACATTAAGATAAATGTTTCTGAAAGTTAACCATGCCAATATTGATCAATATTAGTTTCTGTAAGGAATTTTAATGAATATTAATGTAAATTAATCTTTTTTCTTTTCTTTTATTTAGAAGAAATATTATAATTTATCATCTTTTTTTCTTTATGTAAAGTACATTTAGTAAGATGGTGAAGATTTGTAGCTCAAGTGGATGATTTTGATGGAGTTTTGTTCTCTGAGCTAGATGGTTTAGTCATGGAGCTTTCATCATCATTCTGAACGACATCATCAGCACAAACTTAGAGTAGAAGTGAAGTGTTTGAATTTCTTCACATGTGGTTGATGTTGATTGGTTTCTGTTGACCTTGTAGTATCAGTTTATTTGTTAAGCCCATATACTTTATCCTAGCTACTGGCCAAGCCAATTCGCCTATCCATTATGAGCCATATTTTGATCTTGTTAATTATTCGCTTACTAACCTTGACTACCTTGTTATATGAGCGCATGTGTAAGTACCTTTCTTATCCTACCTATCACATGTCTGTCATTCATTTTTGTCTGACTATAAATGTTGATTAACGCTTGCTTAAATCGAGTTGGCTTCCCAGCCATCTCCAGTACGCATTATCTTTCGCCTCGCTCTCGAGTTGTCTTCCCAGCAATCTCCCACTGCATGTCATTTCCGCCTCGTTCGCTTCCTTCGCTTATTCGCCTGTTTACTCGCTCGTTAATATTCGCTAAGGTGTTGTTAGCTTTCTAACCTGAGTTATTCGACAATAAACTGTAGTTGCTGCTATCCTTTGTCTTCTGATTTTACGCGCCGTTAAGTTGAGAATCATAACGGTTATCGAAACGAACGATTAACGAATCGCGGCACTACAACCTTAAATCGAGGTGTACAGGACAAACTGAGAACCACAAGTAGAGAAATGCAAAAACTTCACTTCTACCCGAAGTTTGTGCCGATGATGTCATTCAGAAGAACAATGAAAGCTCCACAACCATACCATCCAGCTCGGAGAACAAAACTCCATCAAAAAAAAGATTTAACAAGGTAGTCAAAATGAATTCTTTAAACATTTTCCTATACTTCCATTTATTAGTTATTAAGTGACAATAAATATATCATACAAATCTTTATTCTTAAAGGTTTTTCTGTGCTCTAAATATTTTTAATCTGGAAGTGTATAGGACACACATTGAGAAAATCACCTAACTGCGTCACAAGTCAAGCCCTCACATGGAATACTGAAGGCCAAAGGAAAAGAGAAAGACCAAAGAACAGGTTGCGCCGAGAAATCGAGACAGACATGAGAACAATGAACAAAAATTGAATAGAACTAAAAAGGCCCAGGATAGAGTGGGTTGGAGAATGCTGGTCGGCGGCCTATGCTCCATTGGGAGTAACAGGCGTAAGTAAGTAAGTAAATATTTTTAATAGGATTCCTAAACTAAAATTATCGTATTGCTTAAGTTACTAGCTATATAGTCATTAAATTCGTTACTGTGATTGTCACTCGATTTATAAGGCATGCAAATTTCCATTTTTGTAAACATTGAGAAAAAATAGAAAAGGCATAGAAGAGCAGTTATAAGTACCATCATTTTTTAGACTGAAAACATGTGTAATTATGTCGGTAAACTGCTAAACCAGAACTCATTCGAAATAATAAATGTGAGCAATTACATGATAAGAATATTTTTGATACAAAGATGAGTGACGATTTTGTAGTTAATTGATTGATATCTATAGACAGTAGAAAATATGACAAAAATCAATGTTAGTGAGAAGCTGTGACCAGTGGAGTCCAATAGAGACAGTTATCCATCTCAAATAATGGATAAAAAGTTGCACAAGATCATGGATCGATTGAAATTAGATATCGACACGATTAGATTTCGGCTCAGTGGTCTACATGTTAAGCGTTCACACGCAAGATTGAAGGTCCCAGGTTCGAATCCCGTGAGCTGGATCGTGGATGCGCACTGCTGAGGAGTCCCATAATAAAACGAAACGGTCATCCAGTGCTTCCAGGTTTACCATGGTGGTCTAGCTTCAATTGAATCATGATTTCAACTACGTAAAATTACTAAAATCTCCACAAAACCCCCTTCTAATAATGATCATATGTTCACTAGTGACTGGCTCCATGAGGTATTTCCTTGAGTTCTAGTGAGAAGCAGTGATCATTGGAGTTCAACCAGGTCTGTTGTGAGATATCAACTCACTGAAGATATTGGTGGATGTGTCGCTCAATTTCTTGGATTGGCTGAAGTTAGACATTAACACCGTTGGATGCCGGCTCAGTCGTGGAGTGGTTAAGAGCTCGTGCACGAGACTGATAAGTCCTGGGTTCGGATCTCGCGAAGCGGGATCGTGGATGCGCACTGCTGAGGAGTCCCATAATAAAACGAAACGGTCATCCAGTGCTTCCAGGTTTTTCATGGTGGTCTAGCTTCAATTGACTCATGATTTCAACTATATAAAACTAATTACCACTTTATATGATATAAATCACCTTGAGAAACTCTATTCAATAATCATTTAAAAAATATTCAGAAATCAATAAACTATACAATAGAATGTGTATCGACAAATATTTACTCTATAAATAATTATTATGACAATTCTATCAATGAAAGAAAAGGTAATATATACCTCATGTTTGCTTGTTCAAAGTAACCTATTCAATATTAAACTAATTAGTCATATGAAAAGTAATAAACATTTCATAATGAATAATAAGGTGGATTAAACAATTGACAAACATATTACTTCTTTAATAAGTAATTAAAATATAGATCAGAATGGGTTTTGTGGAGATTTCAGTATTTTCATAGTTGAAATCATGAGTCAGCTAAAGCTAGACCACCATCGGTTAAATGCTGTGGTGCGAAACTGATAGGTTCTGGGTTCGAATCTCGCGAGTGCGAAATCGTGGATGTGCAATGCTCAGTAGTCCCATAATAAGACGAAACGGCCATCCAGTGCTTCCATGTTTTCCATGGTGGTCTAGCTTCAATCGACTCATGATTTCAATTATGAGAATTAAAGTATACTTAACATTATAGCAAATAAGAATAAATAGTGTATTTCTAATTTGTTAACTAACTAGTTAACGTTTTTTGCTGGTTAGCGGCCTATACTCATTCTCCTTCACAAGGAATAACAGGTATTGCGGTGTGGGTTACTTATATCCATATAAGTAGTAAATAATGATGATCAGGTATAGAATGTATTTCAGTAGAAGATCGATGCGGGAGAGAACGGGGACGGAACGCAATCGGTAAGAAAATGCATGAAAAATGAAATCAGACACAGTAGACTGATATTTGCAGAAGGAACGGTCAAGTTTGAGACGATGGATTGTTATTTTGCAAATTGACTGTTTACTGTATGGTTGTCATATTTTAATGAGATATGCTGTAATTTATACTTCAATACATTCAATTGTCCCCACCCATGTTCTTGTTCACTACAGTATAAGTAAGTAATCAATATTTTAACATTCTTTCGGATTTTGATTTATTATACTAGAATATATTTTGTGAAAGAATTAATAAAATAAGTAAAGAAACAATATTTATGATAATTTAATTGATACACATAGTTCTAGGTTGTTGAGAGAGAAGACGAAAAGCGAATGTCCGGCGCCTTTAACCGGTTTGGTGGACACTAAAAGTCCACCTATGGAAGTTCGAAAACCCTCATTCCAAACCAATGGTCCACATTGGCTCCAGTATCGTGAAGGAACAAACGGCATATGAATCAATCGTTGATCACCGTCTACCATAGGACTGCATCTCCTTACAATGCTCCACTACCTTTTGTATCATACCTATAAGTCGAAGGCTCCGGGTGTAGCCCCTTAAGAAAACCAACTGCTTCCGTTTGGGCACCTAGGAAGTATCACAGCCCTCACACAAATCAAATGAGATTTGTGCGGCGCATATGTATTTGTGCTTCCTTGTACAAATATTTATGTGTTCAAATAAATAAGTAAATAAATTACAGCTTAAGAAGTTTAAAGAGGAGTACACAACCCTTTACATAAGTAAGTCAGTCACAAGAGATTGAAATAAGACTACATTGTCTATAAGGAAATCTTATCTGATATTATTTACAAAATAATATGTATTTAACGTTTGATAAATTGTCCTCATCACTATCATAAGGTATGATGAACAACATTGATAACTAGATAGTATTAGACAATTATTTAGTCGTTGTTTGGTAATTCACTGTATTCTGCACTCATTACTCTATATAATATAGAATTACTTATCTAAAGTCATTTATTTTTAAATCAGTGGCTTAATGATAACTCATTCAGTCAGTCACAACGTAGAACTCCGTACGAACGTACATCAGTTCGAGTTACCATACCACATTAGCACAGAAATGCAGTTGTCGATTCAAATCCCATAGTGATTGAAGTAATAAGAGTATAAGCATTAATGTGAAAAATTAGGGCTTGAAGATGTTATTCAAATAGTATGATCCGGTGAAATAAATTTGAAAAGTGAAAAAAGAAAGGGACATGAAGAATTCAGATTAGAATTTGGTAGAATACAAAGAGTGGATGCACCTTCGCCATCGTAAACGATTTTGAGCCATGTCATTCAAGATCTCTAACCATCGGTTGTTATCATCTAGTGGATCCCACTATACTTACCACTTGTCAATGGACTGAGCCATGAAATAATAGGTGAATATTATCTAGGTGTCCCTTACTAGGATGAAACAGGTATCTTATTGAAAGTTAATTACATTTCGGTAGATTTGTAGATGACGTTAGTTTATAATAATAATATACTTCAAAATAAGCGAATTGTTTCACAACGTTATGTCACTAATGCGCTTAACAGTCGAACTTACACACATAAATAATGTTGAACATTGTTTGCACTTACCGAATTGATTATTTCCATTAATACTGGAATATCATCATCGTGTACACATTGAATAACAACACGTCTCATTTCAATAGAAACAGTTCAAGCTAAAAAAAAACCTCAATTTATTTTCTTGACTTATGTGTAAATAAAATCATCAAATCACTAATTAACCAATAAGGATAAAGATTATTATGATATGTGTGATTGGTTGATTTGAAGGTGTCTACTGTTCAAACTTTTACGTAGGACAGTTCCAGAAATCAGTTTGTTTTATGAATTATATTTAAATCAATAGGCCAATTGAAGAATACTTGTCTAGGTTCATGTATGTGTATGAAAACAAGTAAATTTAGTGTAAATACATTTACACATTCGTTAGTGATAACGAATGTAACTCAGTATTTTAACATTCTCATATTTTCTAGCTGATTGTATGAAAAAGAAACAGCTTCCTTTTGTGTATTGAAAGAGAACTAGTGATATTGCACACAGCGACTATTTTTCAAAAAAAAACTATATATTACGTCACATAAGAAATTAATCAGAAAAAATAGCAGAACAAAATTACCGTAACACATTATGCGGGATACACAGAGAAAACACATCTTAGAATCTAGGTTTTCGAAATGACGCGCAATGCTGACTGGTATAGACAATGGTTGAAAGAGAGTTAGGGGCGGCCAAACCAAAACGTGGCATCAATGCTTGAAGTCATTAACTTCTAGCCTGAGCCATGTTGGTAGATGAAGACTGCTTGGTTGGGGTCCGCGTGACTATTGTAACCAGTGGTTGGAGACTATAGGTGACATGTTTGGGAATCTATCACAATGGCATAGGTGTATACACTCTCTGTCTTCACTTAAACTATGAGGTTAAAATTGCTTCATATCTTTCTTTCTTCTTGTACTATATCCTAACATGCAATCTTTCATTTATATATTACCACCATTAAATTAACTACTTCTATGAATTCGATGTTCGTCTTGTTGTGCTAATAAGGTTATGACAACTTGGACTGATACATATATGTGCCTGATCCTATATTGTAACTGACTGACATCCATCAGAGCTGTTTTGAGGACGTCATCGATAGCAAATTTGAAGAGGAGGGTTGGACGAGAACACAAGAATGAAAATAATTTGCGGGACACAATTATGTAAGATAATTGCCCGCTTGACAGGTAATAAAAATGAACAACACAAAGGTCATAACAATAGCTGAACAATAATCAAGAAAAATTGTTAGAGCGTAACAATGTGTGATCACGGGTTGGAATTTTTAAAAAAACACTAATATAAAAAAGCAGTGTAGTGAAAAAGAACACGAATGGGGCAATTGAATGCATTTAGGCACAAAATTACAGAATATCTCAGCAAAATATGAGAACCATATAGTTAATAGGTAATTTGCAAAATAACAACCCATCGTCTCAATCTTGACTGTTCGTTTCGCAAATATCCGTCCATTGTCTCAGATTCCTTTGTTCATGCATTTTCATACCAATTACGTCCCGTCCCCGTTCTCTCCCCATCAATCTTCTACTGAAATACATTCTATGCCTGACCATTGTTGCATACTACTTATGTGGATATAAATAACCCACACCACACCAGGACCAAAACATACTACAAAAAGGAATTAGGGCCAAGGAAATATGAGTGGTTGGACGTTTTGTGCGCAGAGTTCGGGTTTAAATTAGTGGATCGCCAACGCCTCAGTAGAACATAAGTTTTTGATTCGGCACTATCATCCGTAAGTTTAAGGTTGAAAATTCATCCTCTAAGCAACAGAACCACACCACCACCACCTACATCCATCAGAGCTGTTTCCAGAACGTCAGGGACGACAAAGTTGGGGAATGTTGAGATTGGGCAACACTGCTTGAAAAAATGGAGAGAGGTGGTTGTATGTCCTAACTCGGACTGTGGTGTTCCTATATGTCTTTCAAGCTCCTAGTAAACTTTTCGGCCACACTCTTCTTCAATAGACAACCGCAGAGAAGTCATGTCCAACGAATAGAAAGCGACTCAAATAGTAAAGAACACCATGATTATTGACCTCTAATAAGTATGACGATAGAGGAGGGCGAAGATATGATCAACAGATCCTATCAGAACGAAAACTGGCCTCCTCCCCAAGAGTCAATCTTTCCCCGATTTTGAGCGATCTATGGAGTGTAACGGAAGCCAATCGTTTGGACGTGATTGGAAGTAGACTTATTCTCCGATAAATGTTGCAGAAACAACGTGAGCCCTTCTTAAAGATAGGAACAAATATTGACCTATTCCACAGTGCTGAAACACTCATTAATTGCCAGAAAAGTGGAGATGAATCCGTCAGTTCTTTTGCTAGAAGGTCCCCACCACCTTTAAAAGACCGGAGGTCAGCCATCTGGACTCGGTGATTTGTAGTGTTTCAAGAGTTGGGGGTCCTTGTGGACTTCCGCCCCATTAGGTGGATCAGTCGTCATCGGCAATGGAAGGCAGAACAGACCGATGGATTTCACCAGGTTAGCAGACCAGCTGTACTATTCCTTGAAAAAGTCTGACCATTGAACTAATGATATTGATTGGCACCTCATCAGTTTCATGAAATGTTTCACTCATACCAGACTTCTTGTCGCCAGTAACTCGAATGAGTTGAGAGAGCCTCTGGAAGTTACCAGATTCAGCTGATGCTCCCAATTCATAAGTGCGTTCTGACTACCAGGCTTCTTGGTCATTACGCAACGTGGGTCTTCGTTTATCGTCAGACTCACAGTCACTAAAAGTAGATCGACGTGTCGTTAAAAGCCTATAAAAACCCGGTGCTTGTATGCAGGGCATTTGGCGAGGCCTCATGCGATTTTACTCTCCATTATCATGACGTCATACCGTTGCAGCCAATGCTCATCCTTACTTTTCGATGGATTGATAGCTAACCTTGAACCTATCTTGGTTCGATATTTAGTTACAATGAAATCTGCAGTCAATCTGTTTAGAACGGCGAATTTGTTGAGCAAACAAGGGTATGACCCGAGTCCAGAAGGAGTGGCAGTCTTGTATACGACCACGAGTGTTAGCTGATGGGGATGCAACTAGTCTGAGTCCAGGAATGAGATGCAGAGGGAGAACACCAAGCAACACTTCGGCGATAACTAGCCAGAAAAGGGTTTCAATCTGCGCAGTATCAGTGGACCATCACCGTTATCTGACCTGAGACCAACACATCCCCATTGGCCACGCAAACAACTCTCCTCAGTTCATCTTGTATAGGCTATTTGAATCATCTTATTGACGTTTAGGACTGCAATCGATCATCCTCTTTTTGTCATACATGTATCCTGAGCGGATTGCTTCGATATTACCTTAAGTAACAAGCATTATAAGCGGACATAAATAGCTAGCAGTAAAACCCAGGACGCGAGTCTACTTCTCTTTGGGACTCGTCTAATGAAGATCATACCTAGCATTCCATTGAAACGGCACGCCTCGAAAGGTTTATATCCTATCGAATCGTTCTACTTTAATGTACTAAATTACGCTACCTTGGATGATGTCACTGATATGTTTGAAAGTGACCATTGAGCATCAGTATCATTGAAATTAAAAATCGGTTACAAGCAGTGTTGAACTCAACACATGCTTCGACTCACATTTCCACACCACATCTAGACAAGTCTCAGAGTGGTAGTAATAACAGTATCAGTAATAATAGAAAACATTGTGTAGAGAAAAAAGTAAGGTTTTGAGATTCAGGGACTAATAGAAGACAAAGGATGAATCCACTTGTGAACGATTCTGAACCATGTCTCTAACCGTTGGTTACGGCAATAACGTGAACCCCAACTAGGTAAACTACAGTTATTGACATGGCTCAAACCAAGTAATAATGACTTCATTGACTGATGAAATATTTTGGTTTGACTACTTCTAGATTACTTTCAGCAAATATCGGTTGTCGAGGTAGGCGGTATTTGTGAAAACGTAACGTATCCCAACCACTTTAGTTTACGAAGATTCACTACCATACCAACTAATTTTCTATCTTTGTTAAAAGTCTCTCTTTTATTGTCACCTGACAATATATTTGTCGTTATCATAATCAAAGTAGAGACTGACAAAAACCTTAGCATTAACCCAATTTACCATATCACACTAGCACAATGGGTTGAATGTAAAAAGGTGAACAGAAAAAGGGGAGAAATAACGTAGTAACAATAATAAAGATTGGGGATTGATAACATAGTTTGATAAGACAAAATGGTAAGTTATTTATGAAGAAAGACTAGAATTCAGAATCTAGAATAAGACAAAGAATGACTGCGCCTGTTTCACTGCAACTCATTCCAAGCCATGTCACCTAACGTTTCTAATCACCAATTGCGGTTAGTTAGCATCTATTAAACATGGTTCAGATTAATAGTCAATGACTTCAGGGACTGATGCCATATGTCCGTCTCGCTACCCCTAGCTTTCTTCCAACTTACTCCTATACCAACCTAACAAAGCCCGAAACAACATAATACACATAAAGTGAGGCATAATTGTTTTTGAAAAGTGCCTAGTAATGTTTGAAATGCAAAAAAAAAGAATTCTGGGCAAACACACATTTACACTGATTATCAACAAAATCTAAATCAAAGTGACTGATCAGCTAACGAAATAGACTTTTCGGAAAAAACGGGGGCTTTCTTTATAATTACAAATTACAAAACAATTGTAAAAATGCTGGTGTTTTCTAAATTGGTTTTTCATAAATACTCATGAATGGAGCAACAAACATTTGGAAGAACACGTGTCCGACTTCATCTTGATTGCTAGCGTCTACAGTAGTATCAATAGAACAGCATTTCTGACTAGGAATATACGGTAATACATGAGTAACAGTAACGTCATTGAATTGTACATCATTTTCGTGACTAGATGCACCGTTATCTTTATCTAGCATTGCAGTAGTAGAAGATGGGTTTGTTGAAGAACTACCACTACTGCCACATGTAGTTAAAATACGTAATGATAGTTTCTAGGACAAGAAATAAAACAAATACTTTATGTTATTAAAAGAATACACTGTTCAATGTAATAATATACAAGTCTTTAAG